AATGTCTCCCAGCACAGCTTTGTAAGGAAAGTGTCAGGGGAGCCGAGTTAGTCTGTACAGGTGAAACGTAAACACCAGCCAACAGTCCGGCAGCACTTTACAGACTCACAAACCACCTGGGTGGGATCGTGAGCTTTTGGGCACCGCCCACTTCAGGTAACGGGTCTGCTCATCCAAAGAAGTGGGCGGTGCCCGAAAGCTCACGATCCCACCCAGGTGGTTTGTGAGTCTGTAACCTGCTGCCGGACCGTTGGCTGGTGTTTACGTTTCACCTGTACAGACTAACTCGGCTCCCCTGACACTTTCCTTACAAAGCTGTGCTGGAAGACATGGCTGTAGCCCACAGTTTGTGCCACCTCAGTGTTCTCCCCTCTATCCAGCAGATCATGGGTAAGACAGGCCTCAGGCCCTAGAAGTGGTGTTCTTGTCTTTCTAACCCATGATTATACTTCACCACTCATTCCTCAAGTGCTTAGATTTCTAAGACCATGACTCCATTTACAGGGTGATTCATGCCAGGGTTCAATTTAGTGGGTCTAGTAAAGACCCACTAAATCAAAGGCTGAGGGCACCCCATTAGTGCCGGTACACGACTCTCTGCTGTGGAGACAGCCCCTTGGCTTGAAGTACATTAACTATAACTATGTATTTACATATCTGGACTTGTCTACCTCAAGCCAACCCCCAGGCTATAGTGTAGACCCGGCCTTGCTAGTTTCCTGTGAGGGACTTTGTCAAAGGCTGTTAGAAAGTCCAAAAAAATAAGCCTGTTCCTTATTCACTTATGTTACTGACACATTCAAAGAACTGGAAGTCCTTTCACTAGGAAATTATTCATTTTAGTTGGGACGCAATGTGGGCCTTATGAATAGGGCACATTGCATTGGGGATCAGAAAGTTATTTCAATTCTGCCATTAACCTGTTGGCAGGCTTTGGGTAAATCTGGGCCCTTTTTCTCCGCTCACTCTTCCTGTCTGTAAAGTGCAGATCCCCACCTTTATGAAACAGGTCAGGATCATCAGAGCTCCTCAGGTGTGGGGATTGACTTAGTTTTCCTCTGGATCTGAGTCCCTCTGGATTGAATGGGATTCTCTATGCATATCACGCTTGGCTTTGCAGCATAGAATCATAGAATACTAGAACTGGAAGGGACCTCAAGAGGTCAAGTCCAGTCCTCTGCCCTCACAGCAGAATCAAGTGCCACCTTGATCTAGTGGAGTGGAAGAATTCTTGCTCGTATCTTGCTGACAACACTCCTGTTAATGCATCCCAGAATGTTTGCTTTTTATGCATCTGTGTCACACTGTTGACTGTTAGCCTGTGATCCACTATGATCCCTAGATCTCTTTCGGCAGTACTCCTTTCTAGATTTTCCATTTTGTGTATGTGAAAATCATTGTTTCTCCCAAAGTGGAGCACTTTGCATTTATTCTTATTGAATTTCATCCTATTTACCTCAGGCCATTTCTCCAGTTTGTCCAGATCATGTTGAATTATGACCCTATCCTCCAAAGCAGTTGCAGCCCCTCCCAGCTTGGTATCAACTGAATACTTTATAAGAATACTATCTATGCCAGGAGTGGGGAACCTTTTTTGGGTTGGGGCCGCTGACCCAAACAGACCCTCACTGATGTGTCCTCTGACTTAAGGAGAAAGGCACTTCCCACATTCCCCTTACACACCAGAGCCTGGGGCCCATGCTAGTAGATTTTGTGTGCTCCAATCCCACAGTGGAGCATCAGCATGGGCTCCCCAGTGCTGGGGGTGGGGAGAAAAGGGGAGCCCTGAGCAGTGTTGCCTCTAAGCTTCAGGGCAGCACAGTTTCACGGGTGATTAACCAGCCCTGCCCAATCAGAGGCTCAGGGCTCCTTGCACAGAGCTGACTGGCTGGATGGGGCTGATTAATCACCTGTGAAGCTGTGCTGCTATGCAGATTAGAGAAAACTCTGCTGCTGAGCCTTGGTGGCTGGACCCAGGCAAGATGGGAGCCACATCCAGCCCCTGGGCCGTAGTTTGTCCACCTCTGCTGTGTCTCATCATCTAAATCATTGATGAAGATATTGAACAGAACCAGTCCCAAAACTGAGCCCTGTGGAACTCCACTTGTTATGCCCTTCCAGCATGATTGTCAGCCATTGATAACTACTCTCTGGGAATGGTTATCCAACTAGTTATGCACTACCTTAGAGTAGCCCCATCTAGGGTTATTTAGTTGGTAAGAAGGTCAAGTGAGACTGTATCAAATGCTTTACTAAAGTTGAGGTACCATATCTACCGGTGGGTTTGATGTGATTTCTTCTTTACAAATCCATGCTGACTGTTACCTATCACCTTATTATCTTTCAGATGTTTGCAGATGGATTCCTTAATTATTTGCTCCATTATCTTTGCTGGCACAATTAAAGTGACTGTGTGTGTGTCCTGGGGGAAGGAAGAGGGCAATGCGCAGAGCCATTTTTGGTTTTACTTGTTCCCAGCATACTGGGGGAAGGAAAAGGACAGCACGTGTTCCCCGCTTGTTCCCTGCACGCTGGATTCGGTGGGGAGGCTCAGGGCTTTCTCTTCCGTTCCCTGCCTGTAGGAAGCCAGCACTGGCTTTCCAATCTTGCTGCAGGCCCTAAGGCTATCTTGCCTTATGCAAGCAGGCTATCTTGCAGTGGTGCCAGTGCTGGCTCCCTGCTGTGGGGTGAGGTGGGAGACTGAGTCGGGGTTCCAGAAGACCCATATTTGGCTTCCTAATGAGCCATAGGTTGCTAACCCGATATAAGGCAACACCTACCACCAAGTCTCTGTGATACCAACTATGTCATAGTTGTGTTCATTTACAAGCATTTTAAGTTCTTCCTGTTTATTCCCCATGCTTCTTGCATTTGTATATAGACAGCTAAGATACTGTTTTGATTTTGCCCCCTCCCTCCCATTCTGTCTTGTCTTCTCTTTATCCTTTCTATTACAGCCCACCCTCCCTCTGGTCTGACTGGCTCCCAGATCTCCGTTTGTTTCATTCACCTGTGGACTGGTGACCTGTCCCCACTGACCCTAGTTTAATGCCCTTCTCACTAGGTTAGCCACTCTGTATCCAAATATTCTCTTCCCCTTCCTCGATAGGTGGATCATTCCCCTGTCTGTCTTTTGCAGTGTCTTTGAGGGAGAGCTGTCTGAGACCATCCCTGTTGTTCATGCTTCCATTGCGGGATGTCGGATCATTGGGAGAATGTGTGTGGGTAAGTCAGAACCTTCAGACTCCTTTGTGGCGTGCTCTGAATGAGGATTGGGTCATTTCACAAGATTCTAGCCTCTGGTTCTGCAGTATAAGGCAGACTGGGTCTGTAACTGGATCTCTCTAAACCTGTCCCCTAGTGAATACTGGTGAAAGTTTGAGGTTCTGGTTGTGACAATAGGGATTAGTAGGAGGGCTTCAGACATAGCTCTGTGACCCCAAAGGGACTTCTCTTCTGACCTCCCGGTAGAGATTGTTGAGGGTAGCCAGGCCTGAGGGTAGGACTGGGAAGACTTGTTTCCAAAATCAAAACTCTATCCATGTGAGAGTACAGACAGGGGTGTGTGTGGAAGTGGGCGTGGGAGTTCAAGGATATGCTGGGGCGGGGGGAGAGTTGGCTTCAGTTGTGATGATGGGGGAGCTCACATAGCCACTCCTGCAGCATGGGGCAAGGTATTTCACATGCTTCTACTTGTGGCTTTCAGGAGTTGGGTTTCTTGTGTAAGTTTCTCGTACTTATAAACCTGCAGGGAATACCCTGTCTTGGTGGGCGTTAATGGTTCAGCTTCAGCATGTAGCCATTGGAGCAGGGGTGGGCGAAAGGGCCACCATATGCTCCTGAATGGCCTGGGGGGAGCGCGCAAAGTCTCCTCCTGCCCTGTGAGGGGCACGGTGCTTCTAAGTGCTGCATGTTCCTTGCAGGACGGGGGCAGGGTGGGAGGAGACTTCACATGCTCCCTCCATCCCCAGGCCAATCAGGGCTTCAGGGGAGCACTGAAGTCTTCCATGCTGCAAGGGGCTCAGCACTTAGTCAACCTCCAGCTAGGGCGGGGACATGCAAAGTCTCCTCCTGCTGCCATGAGCAGGGGCACCTAGAGAGAACTGTCAGCTGTGCCGGGGGGAAGGGGCAAAGACTGTGCACTCCCCCACCCCCAGACTAGTCAGGGTCTGTGGGTGGGGAAGCACGGAAGTGTCCTGACCCTGACCCTTCTGCCTGAGGCCCCGCCCCTTCTGGGGTGGCCCAGGGCCATTTCAAAAATGTCTGAAGTGTCCCCCAGCCAGAAATTATTGCCCACCCGAAAGACGTGCAAAAGCAACTTTCCTCCTTTGCTCCACTTGCTTCCCTGTAGCCAGGTAACACAGCTCTTGTTTTTACATTCTCTTCTCGTGAGAGGATTCAGAAGGTTTTGTCCCTTAGAAGTTCTTCTGGAGAAGCTTTTGAGAGATTTGGCTGTATCAGATCAATGAAATGAGCCTATATGAGAACACCAGTTAGATGGTTAGTAATCTGACATCTGATCTGAAGAGCGAATTTCACTTCTGATTAAAGGGGGGAAATTGGGGCTTCTTAGAAAAGCAGACCTCAAATCATTCCTCTCGGGGACTTTCTCCTTCATCAAGAAGCACCAACAATTAAGCGTCTATCTCCACAGGGAAGAGAAAAACCACAGCTGGCCTGCGACAATGCACTCTTCTGTGTAGGTGATTGGGCTCCGCCCGGAGCAAGAGCTCTGGCAACCTGTGAGGATTTTGAATCAGCTGACTTGGGCCAACTGCAGCCCTGTGTAGATGTATCCCCCAGAGCAGTGTTTCTCAACAGTGGTAGCACCTCAGGGTACTCGAGAGCAGTCTGGGAGGTGCGTCAGCACAACTGAAATTTGGAGAAAACTGAATTTTTGTTTTCAATTTTACAGCACTTTATTATTTTGTACTTTTTACACCCAAAATTTTCATCACCTGCCTGGCTACGATTAAGTTGTTTAAACAAATGTGTTGCAATGGTAGAAAAAAAATTGTGTATGTCTGAAAACTGTAGGTACTGGGGGTACTTAAAATTTTTTCTTTTTTAAAACGAAGGGGTACTTTATAAAGAAAAGGCTGAGAAACACTGCCCCAGAGGTCTGTTTTGTCAAGAAAATGCTTTGTAGATGATCTTTAAATTGCCCTGCTCTTCAGAGGGTGAATCCCACTGTGCATGTAGTGCAGATGGGCCAGAGCAGTCGTCTACAGCGGGACTGGCCAGGCTAGAGCAGCCCTTTGACTGTGGCAAGAGGGTGGCTGGTCCAATGTGGTGGGATCTGCTGAACTGTGCCACAGCCAGGACCCTCTCAGAAATCAGAATTTACCCTCAGCATGCTCAGTGTTCCCTGCTATGCACCTCTTCTGCATATATTATATATTTGTATCATTCATGGGCTTTGATGTAGTTGACAATAGTGAATAAGTGTGGTACCACCAACATATCACTGTTTTCAAAGTATTTCCTCTTCTGTTCCCTTATGAACCCTTTTCTAATCCCCCCAGTACTCAGACAGGCAGTTTCTGTTCTGAACCTGAGCCCTGGTGCTGGCTTGTCTTTAGTGGGAACTGTGCCTTAGTCATGCTGAGGACTGTATGTGGGAGGAGGCGCTAGGAGAGCAGCGTGTGTGAGGGCTAGGAAGTGGCCAGGCTCAGTGGGTGAATGCTTTTGATGTGGTGTGAAACAACAGCTCCTCTTCTCTTGCAGGGAACCGCCATGGGCTGCTAGTCCCAAGCAGTACAACAGACCAGGAGCTTCAGCACATCCGCAACAGCCTGCCAGACTCAGTACGAATCCAAAGGGTGGAGGAGCGGCTCTCAGCACTGGGCAATGTCACCACGTGCAATGACTACGTAGCGCTCGTCCATCCCGACCTCGACAGGGTAAATGGAAACCTTCAGATTGAACCCTGTCCTAGAGCGAGAGCTCATAGTTACTGGGGATTGCTTTGAACGTTTCCCTTCGTGCCACGTAACACAAGGCTGCGTGCTGATAGTGCCTTGTGGCATAGGCGCCCGCTTTCCCAGCCTTTCATTCTTCTCCCAAAGGAATGGCAGAGTTGAAAGGCTGCCTCAGGGCTCAGCTTAGACTGGCCTGCGTTCTGTCTCTCGCTACCCTTCATTCATAGGGCACGTGAGAAGACTGGCTCTGCCCTGTAGAGTTACAGTCTAGTTCAGCATCCTGGGGCTAATGGGAATGGCGAGACACAAGGGCGTGAGCAGTGTGAGTGGAGAAGGTGGCTTAGATCTTTTGTAGGAAGAAGAGGCATCGTGCACACATATGGGTGCCTCAGTCTAGAGGGAGGGCCTACGTGGAAATGATGCCCAAGTGACAGGCCTCTGTAACAGGGGTGATAGTGTAACCCACCAGGAAGGTGGGAACTTGTGATGAAAGGCATTTGGAGGCACTTGGAAGAGGGGACAGTGATCAGGAATCGTCAGCATGGATTCACCAAGGGCAAGTCGTGCCTGGCCTACCTGATTAGCTTCTATGATGAGGTAACTGGCTCGGTGGACGTGGGAAAGTCAGTGGATGTGATAGACCTTAACTTCAGCAAGGCTTTCGATACGGTCTCCCACGCTATTCTTGCCAGCCAGTTAAGGGAATGTGGATTGGATAAATGGACGGTAAGATGGATAGAAAGCTGGCTAGAAGGCCGGGCCCAGCGGCTAGTGATCAATGGCTCGATGTCAGGATGGCGGTCGGTTTCTAGTGGAGTGCCCCAAGGTTCGGTTCTAGCACCGGTTTTGTTCAATATCTTTATTAATGACCTGGAGGAGGGGATGGATTGAACCCTCAGCAAGTTTGCAGACAACACTAAGCTGGGGGGAGAGGTAGATACGCTTGAGGGCAGAGATAGGGTCCAGAATGACTTAGACAAATTGGAGGATTGGGCCACAAGAAATCTGATGAGGTTCAACAAGGAGAAGTGCAGAGTCCTGCACTTGGGACGGAAGAATCCCAAGCATTGTTACAGGCTGGGGACCAACCAGCTAAGTAGTAGTTCTGCAGAAAAGGACCTGGGGGTTACAGTGGATGAGAAGCTGGATATGAGTCAACAGTGTGCCCTTGTAGCCAAGAAGGCTAATGGCATATTAGGGTGCATTAGGAGGAGCATTGCCAGCAGATCCAGAGAAGTGATTATTCCCCTTTATTCGGCTCTGGTGAGGCCACATCTGAAATAGTGTGTCCAGTTCTGGGCCCCCCACTACAGAAAGGATGTGGATGCATTTGAGAGGGTAACCAAAATGATAAGGGGGCTGGAGTGCATGACCTGCGAGGTGAGGCTGAGGGAATTGGGATTGTTTAGTCTGCACAAGAGAAGTGAGGGGGGATTTGATAGCAGCCTTCAACTTCCTGAAGGGAGGTTCCAAAGAGGATGGAGAAAGGCTGTTCACAGTAGTGACAGATGGCAGAACAAGGAGGAATGGTCTCAAGTTGTGGTGAGAGAGGTCCAGGTTGGATATTAGGGAAAACTATTTCACTAGGAGAGTGGTGAAGCACTGGGATGGGTTACCTAGGGAAGTAGTGGAGTCTCCATCCCTAGAGGTGTTTAAGTCTCGGCTTGACAAAGCCCTGGCCGGGTTGATTTAGTTGGGATTGGTCCTGCCTAGAGCAGGGGGCTGGACTTGATGACCTTTTGAGGTCTCTTCCAGTTCTATGATTCTTTGAAAGTGAAGAGCTCTATTTTAGTCATATTGAGCTCAAGTTGACAGCTGGACACTTCCCAGGAGCTCTGAGGCACCGGTGAGGTTTTAGATGGAATAGAAAATGACCAGTCTGAAGTGAAGATGTGGGTCCATGTAGAATCCTAACATAATGATGATAATTGAAGACTCCTAGATTTCAAGGCCAGAAGGAGCCCCTGTGATCATATAGTCTGTTTTTGCAGACCTTCCCCAAAATAACTCCTAGAGAAGGTTTTAAGAAAAATATCCAATCTTGATTTCAAACTTGTTGGTGATTAAGAAGCCACTACACCTTGGGTACATATTTCCAAGGCTTGATTCCTTTCACCGTTAAAACTGTGCACTGTATTTCCAGCATAGTTTGAACTTCCAAGATGACCAAGTCATAGATGGGTGGGTAAGAAGAGGAAGATGGTTGACTGTTGAAGCTGACTGGCAGGTCAAAGAGGAGAACTTGTTGATGGGCCCAAGCAGCAGGTGTAGTTAATATAATCACAAAGTGAAAATCTGAGCTCTCAAAAATCACAATAGGTGTTTGCAGGTCACCTTTTGTAAGTTTTCTCCAGAGCATAGTTCTGTTCCCAGCTCCGCTCACTTGGAGTTTTTGCATTATATTCTGAGTTCTGAGGTAGGATTCGTGTCAAGGGCAAACTCTTCTTATTTTATGTATTTACAGGAGACCGAAGAGATTTTGGCAGATGTGCTCAAAGTAGAAGTTTTCAGACAGACAGTTGCAGACCAGGTTCTGGTAGGAAGTTACTGCGTTTTTAGTAACCAGGGAGGACTTGTGCACCCAAAGACTTCAACTGAAGACCAAGATGAGCTTTCCTCACTGCTGCAAGTCCCACTTGTGGTAAGGTTTTGTAGATGTGTGCTTTCTCTCTCCCTTCCCACCCAGACTCTCCTAACTGCTGCCAAGGTTTGGATCTTCACAGTTGTACTCGTTTGCAGCCTCCATGTTGTGGCCTTCCACCTGCGAATAGCTGCTCTCTGCCCCTTGTAGTTCTTAGCATGCAAGCTGTAGAGTTTAATTCTTGTGACTTGTCAGTTTCACCACTGCCCAGGTAAAAAGAAGCTGTACCCTGTTCCTGCTGTGAAAAGACACTCGGTAACATTCCTTACCTCATCCCTCTGTGCCTATCCCCAAAATAGCCTGTCAAGTCTTCCTGGTACCAAATGCTTCAGCTGCTACAATCTCCTACTTCCCCAGTTTCTAAAATGCAGCTGTGTGTTTCAGCGCTGAAGTCTCTGGCAAACAAAGTTGAAGCAGTGAAATTAAGGTTATTTAATATCAACATGAGCACTGCTGTGTTCCCATGCTGAAGACAGTCAGATTTCAGGATTTGTAATGCATTTTTTATGGCCATGAATTTTGTAGGACACTAGTATTACTGAAAAAGTGTGGCAACTTCTGCCTATATAATCCGTTTTGCAGATTCTTTGAGATGCAAGTGTGACTAAGCAAACTTTGCTCTGCAATTTTAGAGACCTGACATCTAATTTTTAGCATTCTTAGGGCACATCTATACGGAGATCAACGTTCTGTGTTTGATTTAGTGGGTCTAGTATAGACCTGAAAATTGAACGCTGAGGGCAACTCCAGCCAGTACCTATATCCCTCACAGTTGCAAGGAGTAAGCGAAGCCGATGGGAGCGTTTGTTCTTGTCAGCCTCCTGCTATGGGGACACCACCAACCTCAGCTTAAGGTACATTGACTACAGCTACTTAGTCTACGTAGCTGCAGTTACGGACCTTCCATGTCTACTATGGACCTGGCAATAGGAGCAAATATACCTAGACTATCCTTGCAGATCTCCAGTGGTGGGGATTCCACAATCTCCTTTGGAAGTCTATCCCCAAGCTAACCGTCCATATAGCTAGAAAGCTTTTCCTAACATCTACTCTATATCTGTCATGCTGCAAAGTAAGCTGATTACTTGTCCTATCTTCTGTGGCCATTGAAAACAATTAATCAATCTTCTCTTATAACAGCCCTCAACTGACTTATTATCATGTCCCCTGTAAGAACATAAGAACAGCAATACTGGGACAGACCAAAGGTCGGTCTGGCCCAATATCCTGTCTTCCAGAGCAGGTAGTCAAGTGATACATTCCCTATTGTCTTCTGACAAACACTGATGGACCTGTCCTCCATGAATGTGTCTAGTTCTTTATTGTACCTTGTTATAGTCTTGGCCTTCACAACATCCTCTTCACGATATTCCTCCAGCTGTCGTTTTCCAAGACTAAATATGATTATAAGTTTGACCTTTCAGTGATGTGAGGCCTTGCTTTGAGTTTGTGGAAGGGTTAGAATTATTAACACCAGGCAGTAGAAATATGACTTAAACCATTGCCTTCTGGATTCCAGCTTAACACACTTCCACCTAGACCAAGGCATATTTGAGTGGGGAAGCAGCAATTTCCATTTCCGTGTACCCTCTGGTAACTCAGTTCTGTGCATACAGACCACAGGGAGAACTTTGTTCAACTGAGGACTTTGGGACAGGCACCCAGGGTTGGTGTGTGGGTGGGGGGTGCCTTGGCTGGGAGTTGTCAGTCCTCCTGAGATGTTACAAACCTTCAAAATGCCGCTCTTGCTACACAACTGTGTGGGGCCAAATGCAGATCATGGCCTGAAGCATGAGGCCTAACCTGGCACCCTGTGATCTGCCCCAGGATCTCTGTGCTGTCCCTTGGAGCTGATTCTGCTCCCAGTTACCGCTGTCCCTTAGACAGAATTTTAAATAGCCAACTCGTACATTGTCCAGTGGAGCAGATGCAAATAGCTGAACCAGTATTATCCATGTAGGTTTGCTTATGGAGCCCAAAAATTTGTCCTGTCAGTTTCTTACCATGCAGGGAGATAACATCTTCAAACAAGATGGTCTCTCGCCTCTTAAATTGTCCTCAGCGGTGTGGTGGCAGGGGTTTAAATTCCCAACTGTACTGGAGAGTTTGGGCTGGTGCTTTCCCCTGATGGACTAGCGAGGCGATCAGGTCTAACTGATGGGCTGTCTGTGCTGCTGTCACGGTGATGGTGGGTTGATTCCTCTCTGTTCTTACCAGGCTGGCACAGTGAATCGTGGCAGTGAGGTCATTGCTGCGGGGATGGTTGTGAACGATTGGTGTGCCTTCTGTGGGCTGGACACAACCAGCACGGAGCTCTCTGTTATCGAGAGCATCTTCAAACTGAACGAAGCTCAGCCAAGTACCATCGCCACCAGTATGAGAGATTCTTTAATTGACAGGTAGGTGAGATCTCATCCTGTGCTTGTGCCTCTTTAAACCTACACACCTGTTAGCAAGACTGGCAAGCCAAGGTCTGTTTCCCAGGCGTCTATGCTCCCACTGGCTTTCTTTAGAGTCTTAGCTTTGCCAAAAATTAAAATAAAAAAACCCCCAATTCTGTTTTCTTGGCTCTTCCTTGTAGCTTTTTCTGAGACACTTTCAAAGCTTAAAGCGCCTGTTCATCTCTAATATTCTGGGAACCTACTGAATTCTCACTGTAGTTAGTTACCATGCTTTGTGTTCAATCTTCATGTGCTCATCTTCTAGCAAATTTAGGGCATGGGCTGAAATTTTCTCTAGTTGTTTCAGCCCAAAAACTAATTTTAATTTTGACAAAAGCTCTTCAGCCATTTTTTAGTCCAATGAGTGACACATGCAATAATTATAAGCATTCAGACCATAGCATCTGTGGCTGGATCACGAACCTTGGTTTGGATATAGTCCCCAAGGACTAGCACATTTGCTTGTTTTGAAAAGGAAAACATTGACTTTAATTAACCAGAAATTGAGAGAGTTTTAAAGCAGTGGGCTGAAGATGTCTTGGACCAGGGCAGGTCAAGGCTCCCTTCAGGCTGCTGGCCTGGCTCCCCGGCCAAGGCTGAGCATGCTGGAGATACACCCGGCTATTGCTGGCCTGGTGAACCTGACTGTGAATTCTTGTTTGGGCCCATGCACTAGTTTGAGGCTGTGTCCAGACTCAGGGGTTTTTTCGACGGCTTTTCTTTCGACGGCGGTAAACCTCATTTCACTAGGAAGAATGCCTTTTTTCGAAAGTGCTCTTTTGAAAAAAGGCGTTCTTGAATGCCAACAGGGCTTTTTAGAAAGAGAGCATCCAGACTCACTCGCTGCTTTCTTTTGAAAAAGCGGCTTGCTTTTTCGAAAGTACTGCTTGCAATCTAGACGCTCTTTTTCGAAAGAGGCTTGCAGTCTAGACATAGCCTGAGTGTTTCTCTTGCTTTATGGAACTAGGGCAGAGCGCTGATAGGGAAGGGGCTGATGTGCCTCCAGCTGGAGGCACCTGTTGCTTTTCCCTGTTCTCATTCGTTAAACCTGCTTTCTGTTTTCCTTCTAGTCTGACGTGAGACGTGCTGGCTGAGGAGCAGAGTGCCAGGCTGCCATCTCATCTGCTTTCTGGCTTCCAATACCAGGCCCTTCTGTCCCTTCCGTGGGCCCTGCTCTGGGCGGATGCCTCGTAACCAGCATTTTAGTGGCGTGTTAATTACTTCCTGCTACAAAGCCCTGGCAAACAGCATGAACGAGTTATAAATATGAGAGATTCTGTGTCCTGGCTGCCATCTTCCCGTCTTTTAAATAGTCACAGCGCGGAGGGATCTGTAGCATTACAGCTCCTCTCTTTGCTGAGCTAACACGTTCTCTCACGCCGAGGTTTTTTCCTCATTTAAAAAGAATGGATATTGTCTCACAATAGGATCTTTAAAAACACACTTACAATGGTTCAGTGAAAGACTCTCTCGTGCTTCCCTTCTTTGGTTGCTAGACAGCGTTTCCTAGGCCAGATAGCCATAGGCTTCTTTGCCCTGGTTGTAGCTGTACAGAAAAGGTCTGAGGTTGTAAACACCGAATATGGTGGATGTCTAGTGTCTTCTGAACTCAGCTGCTCTCTATCCTTGGATGGTGTCCTGAAGCTCTGCCTCACAGTGCAGAAAAGGGCAAATAAGTGACAGTTTTGCTTGCAGATTCAAAGCTGTTACATAAGAGAGAATCCAGGAGTGATAAGGAGCCCGGGGGTAGCTGGGGTTGTGAAAGCAAAAGGTGCTTCTGGGAGTCACGTTGGAGAGGAGAAATCAAGTGACCCTCTCTCACCCAGCTGTTTGGTTCATGTGTCCTCCTAGCGTAGGAGCAATTGGGCCCAGCCCTACAGCGTGGTAATGAAGCGCTGGGAGCAAAGCAGACTGACACCCTCTAGGAGTTGATGGGCAGGATCCCCTGAAGCTAGTAAGATAAGCTAGTAAGTCCAGGAAAGCTGGCTGTACTTTGAAGAAGCCTTATTGAGGATGCAGGAACAAACCATCCCAGTGTGCAGAAAGAATAACTAATCTGGCGAGTGACCTGTTTGGCTTAACCGAGGAAAACCTCAGTGAGCTTAAACGCAATAAGGATGCTTATAAAAAGCGGAAACTTGGAGAGCTAACTAGGGAACCGTGTACTGCTCAAGCATTCGGGGGTATGATCAGGAAGAGCAAAGCACAGTTGTAGTTGTAGTTAGTAAAGGATATAAATGGTAACAAGCATTTCTACAGGTATGTGAGCAGCAAGGTGGTCAGGAAAGTACAGGACCCTTATGAGTGGAGGATGTGACCTAGGCTATGTCTAGACTGCAGGCTGCTTTCGGAAGAAGTTTTTCCCAAAGAAATCTTCCGAAAAAATTTCTTCTGAAAGAGTATCCACATGGAATGGGTGCTATCTCCCATTTACACTGGGATTACTACAGACGAGTGGCTGCCAGGGCACCTGTGCTTTTTCCTCTTTCCTCCTCTTCCAAAAGAACTCTTCTTCCCAGTCCACACACGCCTTTTTCTGAAAGGGCTCTTTTGGAAAAAGGCTTCTTCCTCGCAGAAAGAGGGTTACCAATACCGGAAAACCCCTCTCTTCTTTCTATTTTCTTCTGAAAGAATGCGATTGCAGTGTGGATGTAATTGAAGTTTTTCCAAAAAAAAAAATTTGTAGTGTAGACATACCCCCAATGACACGATGTGGAAAAAGCTGAAATACTCAATGCTTTGCCTGTTTATACCAAGTCAACTCCCAGACTGCTGGACAGCACAGGATGGGAAGGAGGGGGCAGCACTCAGTGGGGAAAAAGCAGGTTAAGAACTATTTAAAAATACTGGCCATGCACAAGTCCATGGGGCTGGATGTAATGTGGCTGAGGGTGCCTCAAAGGGAAGTGGGAGACACATTTTCAATGGGGGTCTATTTGGAGTGGCTCATAGGTATAGTGAAGTGCCTGGTGGTAAAAGCATGTGGCACGTGGTGCTGGAACTTACTGTACATATCAGCGCCATGTGTCGTACACAGCAGCATACTGAGTTGGGGAGAGGTGGCCAGTGATTAAGTCTGGCCTTATTCGGTGCTTTGTGTGTAGCCCTTCAGCCACTAG